AGTTGAACAGCAGGTTCTGGCCAAGAAAAAGACCTTCCCAAAATGCTTTGTCCATACTAGTGCTGCCTGAAAAAAGCAACAAAATTTACACTACTGACTTATGTTCAACCAAGACTGAAAGTTATTGGAGATTTTCTGAGTAACTGCGAGCTCTGCTTTTGAGCCATTCTTGTGTTTTGATATTTGACCTGTTCTTTGCGAGCTCTTGCTACATATCAGGAAGCCATAAAGGTGTGTGAAAAATTACCAGCATCTTTGTCCTTTTACCCATGTCTTCCCTTTTTTGGGTCTCTTGATTAATTCTCATGTTTCACAAATCTGTGTGCACACATTTTGCACAGCAAACCACAACTTCTCTGGTCATTATGTGAAAGTGTAAGTAAAAACAATCAATGTCCCTCCTCCAACACAAATGAAAAAAGAATGGAAAAAAAAGGGGGGTAAAGAACCTTCCCTTTCCCAGCCCCTCCCTGCCTTAGGATGCTGATAGCATTTTGATGGGATATTGACTTACATAAAAGAGACACAAAAATGCATCTTGCCACTGAAAAAAACTGAGATGGTAGCTGAGCATTTTAATTAAAAAGTAAAAAGCAGATAAAACCTTTTTAGTGTTACTGAGGGTCTTCCCTAGAAAGCATTAGTATCACTGTAGAATTTTGTGTCATTGTAACTGTAGTGAGGTAAGCACCTATTCCATTTTCCTCAATATGGCAATGTCCTTTCTGGCTGTCTCTTCTAGTGTTCTGTAGACTTAAAAGTTTAACCTCTTCTATTAATGTTGGATAAGATGTGCAGTAATGAGGATAGCCTGGTTTCATGAAGGTCATTTTAATCTTGTAAATGGATAAGATGATGACAGCCTACACCAAGGGTAAAAGCACACATTTTGATCCACCTGTGAGGAAATGCAGAGGGGATTAACCCTCTTTGCCTTTCATAGGAGGGCAATTGTCAGAACTGCATTCCTCTTACCAGTTGTTTGTTCTAAACAAGTGAGTTTTTGGGGGTCATGTGGAAAGCAACTTGGCATTTTCAGAAGGCATGATCTGCTTTTTGATACTTTATACTTTGGCATGTTTATTCATGGTGCTTTTTGAGTCAAGCTATTAATTAGCAGCAGTGCACCTTTAATATAATGACTGGGACACACTGGGCAGATTGCACGAAGTTGTTCCATGTTTGAAAGCATATACTAATTGGTTTCTATGAACAATAGGCACACAGGTTTGAGTAGATTTCAGAGGATTCAGGAGAGCATGAGGAGGAGTCACTGCAGCTGAATCAAGTAATATTTGCTCAAGAAGCCTGAACTGCAGCTGAACTAATGCCTGGAATTGGGGGATGCCTTAGAGACAGATAGTTTTGCTTCTGATTAACTAGCATTTGCCATTGCAAAGTGCAAAAGGAATATGCACTAGTCTGCCTCATTTGAGTTGCAAAATGTAAGGTAGTGATCAATTCTGTATGACACACAGTTTCTCAGAGGACATTAGGAAGGGGGATGGAATGACCAAGGAGGCCAGAGACTTTCATTGGAGTAATGCTACAGTAAAAACTTCCTTATTCTTTTTACTATTATGTTGTCCTTTACTCTTCTCATGCATAAAAATTAAATAAATTGCAGAAATTACAAAATGCCCAACTGCCCAAAGTACTATAAATACAAAGTGTTTCCAGGTATGCCACTCATAACATTGCTACAAGAGTTCCTTGTCTTTCATCATAAAAGAATGTTGCACAAAGGGAACACAAAACAACAAAAATCCCCCCAACCTTGGTCTATACACTTAGTTCTGTCTGCTTAGCTGTAAGATCCACAGAAATGCCTTACCAGTTAGGAGATGGTACTTAGGGAGAACATTATGGTGCTGATACACATGGCCCGTTTCCTTTCTCTTTTCCCCAACACTGGCAACTGTTGGATTAGGAATCTTCAAGTCATGTTTTAAAAATTGATCGCACATATACCTGAGATCAGCTCAGTTGGTTAGAGCACGATGCTAACACCACCAAGGTCATGGGTTTGATGTCTGTATGGGCCATTCACCTAAGAGCTGGACTTGATGACTTCCATCTCAGAATATTCTGTGATTCTGTGACAAATGTCTGTATAGTAACAGCACATGTAGTAATCATGCTCAGTGAAATGAAATTTGGCATCCTGATGTAAGAGTCCCTCTATAAACAATTCTTGAAACTACTCAGAATTCAATGGGAGCTTAACAAAGAGAGCAGCAATTCATTTACCCACTCTCAGTTGAAAAATGGGAGCACAATTTTGCTGCTTTTCAGGTCAACCTACCTGGTGCGTAAATGTCTTTAAAGCATTTGGAAATAAAACAGTTTGAATAGAGTAAAATAATGGTTTTTTAATGCTGTGTTTTAAGCTCAGGTATGTCTGGTTTGAAAAACTTACCCCATGGTCTTAAGCATGCTCATATACTGAATTTTTGTATGTGGTATTATTTGGGTAACCCTACTAAAAGAATCCGGTGCCCATTGTTGCATGCAAAATGAGGGTTGTGAATGAACAAAAGTATTAAAACCTTTTTGTTGTTGTTGTTGTTGTTTCAACTGATCAAATATAAAATTGGCTGATCAAGACATGGACTTAAATAACAAAATGATTTGCATCTGCAGTGCCTAATTTTCAAATTTATTAGCCCAAGCTATTAATCTATTACTTGTAAATAACAATCTCATTTGTAGACAACCTTATTCATTTGGAAAAAGAAGTGGGAATGTTGAAACTTTCCACTCATTTATTTGTGAATTGGTTAAGCTACATTTTGTGAAAGTCTAGTCATATAACTTCTGTTAGTGTCACAGTTTTGTTTTGAAAGTCTTACAGTGGGCATCAAGACAAGCCAAATTGTTTTTGTTGACCCCAGTTTCGTCAGGGTAGGGTTGAAAAATGGGAGCTACAAGGTCAGCAACTGTGAGTTACTCAGCCATGCTGAACACAGAGCTGCTGCATAGAAAGCACTGCATTGACAGCTGAGTGGTCTCCAGCACACCTCTTTCTCTTGTCTGAGCCCTCTAGACCTCTAATAAATATGTGGAAAAGATTGGTTTTTAAAAAGCATTTGCTACCCTTCCCCATCCTTCCCCTGCTTTCAGGTCCAGGTGAACTCCTTGATTTTCCTACCTGGGAAGTGGCTGTGTGGAACTACACTAACTGATGCAGTATATTTTTATGTAGACAATAATTTTTCTGGCCATACAGAGATAACATTTTGTGAATTCTGCTCTAGGATAAAATGTACTCAGTGATGTAAATCAACTGTAACTTTCTAGGACTCTGTTAGAGTTTTGTTTGTCTGGTTTTGAAGAGTTTAAGCTTTCTGGCTATGGTATAGCTGCCTTGTACAGCTGGATTTATATATGGGGTACAATGTGACTTCAGCACATGAATGAGGAACTGCAGAGTTTATGAGTTTCTCCTTTTAAGAAGATATTCTCTGTAACTGCAATATATGGCACCCCATCCTTTTAATCCAAGAATGATTCCTTTTTTTCAGGTCCCTAGAAAAATATTTTTTTCCTCTTGCTTTATAGTAAAATTGGCTAGCAGTGGGATTTATTTGAAAAGATATTAAAATCCTTTTTCTATTAGCATGAACTGCATGATACTTTAAGGAGAATAACAAGATATTAATTTTGTTTTGATCTCCTTCTGTGGAATTCCTCTAGTACACATATCCTAGCTGAGTGAGACACCACCTTCTTTGCCCGTGTGAGAAGCAGTTACAGTAATGTTACTAATTAGGCAATGTGCATACTGCAGATATGGGCTATCTAATGTAGTTTTACCAGTGTGGTATGTTGAGCTGTAGCAGTGCCTCATTGTCCCAGTCCCATCTCTTCTACTAAGTTCAGTGTGTCTTGTTTTCACTTTCTTGGGTTCCCTTTTTGCCAGTTTGGGCAGTGGGTCCAGACCCCATGTGCAAAACGTTCTGCTGTCCTCATTCTGCATTTCTCTGATATGCCTGGATCAAAACCCACCACTTTAATGCTGCACTGAAATGAGGCTAGATGCTTTTAATTTAGCACACACCATTATTCAATTTCACTTACCATTTGACATGAGTGAGGTGTTCCAGTCCTGTAATCTGAACAATTAATTTTTTAAGTAATTGCCTGTCAACTGTGATGGGTGAGCAGCAAAACTTAACAAATATGGGTAGCACTAATGCTGTTTTCCCAGGAGCATTGTTTGCAAGGGCAACTTTAGTATAACCTTTTGAAGAAGAAGTGGCTCCTCTTTCCCATTTGACCTGTAATTCAGGGGGTGAAGTAAGCACCTCAAAGCTAGGCTTCTTTGCCAAAGAACCTTAAAGCAATCAGCCAGGTTGGTGAGTGGTTTTCTCTCTGTGATTAATTTTTTTTAAAAAATTATTAATTTTTGAAGGGGTTGGATTTGAAGTTATATGGGGCTTTCTTTGTTGTTTTGGGGGTTTTTGGGTTAGGTTTTTTTTGTTTGTTTGTTTTGTTTTGTTTTGTTTTTTCTGAAACTGAAATCAACCTGGTGTTTGATACCGAAGTGTTGAGAGACCAGAGTGTTTAACTTTGAAAAGAATCCCAAGTACCTTGGGGATGTTGTAAATCCAGATTCTTAGAAGAGCAGAATTATGCTGTAATGGCTCCACTCTAGAGACATTTCAGTCATCAGCTTGTTTTCCTATTACTGCAGTGTGTTGTAAAATGTGATATTTGGAAATGAGTGCCACAGCACAAGAGAGATTTCTACACGTTTTAAATGCGTGTGACCTCTGGGCTCTGTGGAGGAAGGCACCTGACTGAGTGGAAGTGTTTGGGACCCTGACTCCAGTGAGCTGGGAAAGTGTAGATGTGAGTGTTGATTACAGGTTGTAATACACCTAATACAATCTACTGGTCTGTATCACACCAGGTTGATTTTGGTGACTTTCCCCACTGAGCAAGTACTAAGCTGTTGGGTGTTTGGCTTTAACTGCTGTACCTATCACCATCCCCAGGCAAGGGACCTGAAACTCTTTATGCTGGGCAGAAGCTCAATGACAATGAGTGGCACACTGTCCGGGTTGTTCGGCGAGGAAAGAGCCTCAAGCTGATCGTGGATGATGATGTTGCGGAGGGTAAGTGTGATGTATGACTATTTTTCGATCATCATCTTTGTATCTCTATTCCCAGTCTTTCCTCTGCCTTTACGACCTTTCTCCCTGTTCTTGTGTGTATCTTTTGGACCCCCTCCTTTTGTTACTACTTGTGTGTTATTTAGTGTTACTGTATTGAAAACAAATGCTCAGGTCTGAGAGACTTTCTTAGCCAGCACCAGAAACTTCTGTGACAACTGTAACAATATGAAATACAAGTTTAGGGGACAGATAAGCTTACACATACCTGAGACTGCAGAGGTGTTAAGCAGCACTCTCTCTTGGTTCAGACTCTGTTTGGGTTAGATGTGAGTATACCCCATTCCTGAGCTGCAAATGTGGCTTCTAATGCTGTGGAATCAAAGCTAAGGCTCTCCAAACTTTCCTCTGCACTTGTCCTTTGATAAACCTGTATTCGTTACATGTGTTAGAGACCACGGATTTTTTTCTCCACTGTTCATTATATGGGTGTGGTTGTTTAGGGCTTTTTTTTTGAAGTTGGAGGGATTTTTGGTTATTTTATTTTTTTTCAAAACAAAAAAAACTTATTGTGCTTGTGGTTCAGAGCCTTCTGGAAGAAAAAGCAAACAAAGTAGTTTGTTCTCAACTTTATTTTAGAGGTTAGGGAGGATTCTGACTCACCAGAGTATATCATATCACATTGAGTATGTCAATCCTTTTTTCAGATAGCTTTTTGAGCTCCTGCTTCTTTTTGCAGAGAAATATAGTTGAAGGGAGGAAAGAAAAGGTCAATCACTCAGGAAAGCTGATGTCACCCAGGCTGAGATTTGCATTGAAATGATCAAGGTGCTTTAGATTAATTTTTTCTTCATTACAAAATTTTAGATGTTACACTTTTCTTGTCCAATTTTCCATGGAAACTTATCTGTCTTTTTTTGAAAGTCTAAAATTCTCATAGTTGTAAATAACTGTATGACCTTGGTTTTTGAGGAAAACATCAGCAGCCTGAAGACTGATAATAGAATCAGAAAGAACAGAATCCTGGATTCAACACTGATGTGACCCATGATGTTTTGCCAAAAGCTGAAGTCCTCTCTTCTGAGTAGCTTCTACTCAGAAGACAGCTAAAAGTAATGGCTACTGTAATGCAGCAGGTTTTTTTGATAAAAACTTTTCCTGTATCCTATCTCTGAAAAAAGTTTGGTGGTTTTTTTTTTTTTTTTTTTTTTTTTTTTTTTTCTGTATGAATGTGATTAATTTTAAATATTGCAGTAATTTAGATTATTTGGAAAGCTGTGAGCCAGAAATTTGAAATAAACCCATAGAAATGAGTTCGCAGTAAAATAGTTTGAGGTAATTTTGCCCTCTGAAGTAAATATATGCTGTGCTGTATGGACTGTGAATTTGCAAGAGAGTACGAGAAACATATTCAAGAAAAATCTTTCCCTCTGGTTGTTGGAAGACAACTTCAGGAGTGGCTTGGTCAAAATTAACTTATAGAAAAATAAATTTTATTTTAGAGGGAACTTTCTGAGTTATTGACGTGCTGACAAGCATTTCATCCCTAATATTTCTGCATTTGAGAACAATTCTTCTAGGATGTGCTATTTTAGGAAGCCCCACGAGGTGGCACTCTTTGCATTACCGAATTGATCCCCAAAAGCCATCTGTTTTTGAAGTCTTTTTTTCATGGAACTGAGTTTATAAATAATAATGATACAATCCTACACCAAAATAGGATACGCATATGCACATGTATATGAATTACATAATTAAAGATGCATTACAGCTAAATATATCTGTTAAAAGAATGCCATCATGTCAAAGTCAAAAGTCAGAACAGCCAGAGTTAAGATTTTCTGTGCAATCTGCATCCCACTTCCTTGGGCAGATGATAACAGTCTTGAGTGATGTGGTCACATAGATTTTTCCACAGGATTCTCGCTGTCTTAGGCATAGATCAGAAGTCTAAATTGGGCTCTTGTAAAAATAAACAGCCTGTTTGATTTACATCTTCTTATTGCTTGTTTGGAACAATGCACACCAGAGCTAAGTTTTGCTCTAAATATAGAGCTGGTTTTTTTAAATTTTATTTTATTTTATGTGTGTGTGTTTTCTGCTACTCATCAATATATTTATACAGAACTAAGAAGCTGCAACTGGATTTATTCCCTTGTCTCTTATGTGAAGCAAGTGGGCATCTTTTTTCCATTTTATGGGTCTGGAAACAAAGCACCAGCTTAAAGTTGGATGTATTTGGTACAAATTTGATGTGATTTTTCAGTCATTTTCATCAGAAATTGAAAATCAGATTACACATATCTGTAAATTAGATCTTGTAAGTTAGTTCAACCCTACTACCTGGAGAATTAAGTCTAGACAATTAATGAGTACCAGTGAAAAATTTGTAATGAAGTGTCTGACTTGGCTTCCTGTAGGACATCTAAGGCAGAAAGAGAATCCAATTCCTCTGGACAGCATTTTGCTGTTTAATCACAAAATTTTCGTCCCACATTCCACTCCACCTTAGAACACAAGTGATAAATGAAAATCAAATATAGCAGATATATTCCATCCTATAACATCGTGTTAGCACTCAAATACCACACTGGAGACTGGAATTTTTTCTGTCTGATGCCACTTGAACTAAAGAGCTTCTGATTGCTGTGGTAGTTACAACACTCTCTATAGAGCACAGTGGAGGAATTAGAGGTGAACTCTGCAGGTGGGGCTGATACCTAATGAGATCAGAAAATACTAGATTTCACTCCATGATTTCCTAGGATATTATATCTCTTGTATTGCCATGTCCTTTTCAGCCTTTCACTGAAATACCCTTAACTTACTATACTACTGCTTCTGACATTATCTCTTTTTCCTTAAGCTAGCCCCAGTTTTCTCAATTTTCACCTCTTCTAAGATTCTGGTCTCACCTCTCTCACTCCATTTTTAATACCCCCTATATTTGGCTTCCCTGTTCCACCATACTCCATATTTTCCAGTCCTGGCTTTTCTCTCCCTTGGGCCACCACTGCTTCTTTGTGTTTATCTAAGTGCAGAAAAACAAAGAAGAGTTTGCTTGCTTTTGGTCCTTGGCATCACTTAGTTTTATATTTCTAATTTTTTGAAGTAAAGAAGCAGGATTTTTTTAAAGAGTTTTTTCTAATTTTATTTTTAAAAAAGTACACATCTGGTTTGATAAAAATCATAAATTTTCATTTGATAACACTGAAGCGGAAACAGCCTCTAAAAATCACAGTAGTGGAAGTGAGAAAGTTTGTCTAAACAAACTTCCTCATATACTGTTTCAGTTTCTGGGAACTGGCCTTTTTCAAACTAAAATAATATTATTTCTGATAAAGAAATGTTCCAGGATTTAAAACATTTGCTTTGGTCCTAACACTTGAATTTATGAAAAGTCAGAAGTATGTGACTGTCTTCAGCTGCTTATAAGTTTGATCAGCATTAACTGCTTGGATTGAAGCTTTCTGTGATATTTGTATAATTGCCCTTAAATTTAGATCCACTGCTGAAATTGGGAATAAATGAAAAAATAAATTGGTTTGTGCAAATTTTTTTTTTCATATTTGAAGTAGGTACTTGAAAACATTTTTTCTAATAACTGTGCTTGTTTGCTGTCTTTGCATAAAACTTGATCACATTTGGACAAAGTATAAAATGAAAAATTTTATGATCGTGAGGGGTGATTTAGGGATATTTCAGTGTTTCCAGAGGCTCTAAGCAAGAAAATGACCATCAGTTTATTAATCTGACTATTTATACACCACAAGCCAGAATGTATCATCCAAGTGTCTTTTCAAGTATGTCCAGCTTTCCTTCTATCCCCAAGGGAAAAAAAAAAAAAAAAAAAGAATATGTTGGCATTAGTAAGAAAAATCTTGAAAGGGCAATCTTTTGTTTGGTTTGGTTTGTTTTTGGTTTTTGTTGTTGTTTTGGTTTTTTGCTTGTTTGTTTTTAATGCCTGGGAACTCTCTAGGTAAGAAATGCTAGGAGATTTTAGGGGAGAATACAGAACATGAGGAAGCTTTGGGGACTTAAGTGGAGTTTGTCCTGGATTCGCTTGTGGTGACTGGTGTGATTCCCAGGTATAATCCCAATGACTCAGAAATATCTCTTGCAGTGATGAGTCGAGAGTTGTGTATATATGCTTACTGATCAGAAGATGCAATCCAGTAGCTAATTTTTGTCTGTCTGCAGCACACTGGAAACAGTTATGCAGGTCTTTATCTAGTTGTCAAATTTCGCAAAACTAGTGTGAATTTAAATATTTTCATCCCTTCTGTTTTATAAACCTGCTGAATTTGGTCAGCATGTTGAAATATTATTAAAGACAGGCAGAGGGACCAACAAGTAATGTGGCTAAGAGCTTCTTGTGTGGCTAAACTTTCTAAAAGGAAGGACTTTGCCTGTGCAGTGATTATGATCATGGACTAAACAGACTTGACTTGGGGAAAATTAATTTAATTTACTACCAATTAAAAATAGAGTTGAATGGTGAGAAACGAAGACAAGAAGTAAAACACTGTCCCCCAACCTCTCTTTTATTGGGTTGACTCCCTCATTCCTGACTCTCCTACCTACCACCAGCCAGTGGAGCACTGGGTGGGGAATGGTAACTGTGATCTATCTGTAACAACTCCTCTGTGATTCTCCTTCCTCCTCATATTTGATGTATGACTAAATAGTTAAAACTGCCTTGATGAAGAACTGTGGAGGACTAAAATAAGGTTGGCTGAAAGGGTTTTCATTCTGATGTTGCTCAACTTGTCTTTATAGCATACTGTTGTGTTTTATATGTCTGTGAGGGTTCTGTGTCTGCACTGGTGCCTAGACACTTATTGAAATATTTAAATAAGCTGTAAGAGTAGTCTGACATATTTGGTATACTGAATAGCTTGGATATTTTAATTGAGAGGTTAAAATCTGTAATGATGTGGCAAATAGTCCAAGTGGTAGGCTGGCGATTTAAATATTCAGAGGGCTTTTTGCCTGTTGCTTTCTTGTTTGTTTCCCTCCTGCTGTGCTCTTAAAACAAGAGAAATAACAACAAGCCAAGCACCAGGAGAGAATAACAGAAAAAATAGCAGTTTTTTGATCATTCTCACTTCTTTCACTGCTCTATTTATATAAATCTATGTTTATCAAATATTTTCACGAAACGCACTTGTAAGAGTTGTTTCAGAAGTGTCTGAGTTTGGCAGGTGAACTGTTGGATCAAATACATCACTGTAGGCTTAAGGGAGAGACCTGGTCTTCTTCACAAACAAGGAAGTCTGTGAAACACTGGGGAAACTAGAAAGCTTGCTGCCCATGGCACTTTAGACCTGTCTTTTCTGCCAGATTTGGCAACTGCTAGACTCAAGTGTCTCCACCAAGATTCTGTACATTCTTTCTTATGCAAGCTATCAACAGTGATCAGATAGGATTAAGTTAGTGCTACTATTAGTCTGGAAATTGGAGCGTGAAGGGCTTCATGTAACCTGTTAGTTATCCCCGATGTTCCTCCTTGTTTCTGTCCTTCAGGCACAATGGTTGGGGATCACACCCGCCTGGAGTTCCACAACATCGAGACAGGGATCATGACAGAGAAACGGTACATCTCTGTTATCCCCTCCAGTTTCATCGGCCATCTCCAGAGCCTCATGTTCAACGGGATGCTCTACATTGACCTGTGCAAGAATGGTGACATCGACTATTGCGAGCTGAAGGCCCGCTTCGGTCTCCGCACTATTATAGCTGACCCTGTGACGTTCAAGACTAAGAGCAGCTACCTGAGCTTGGCCACCTTGCAGGCTTACACATCCATGCACCTCTTCTTTCAGTTCAAGACCACCTCAGCTGATGGTTTCATCCTCTTTAACAGTGGTGATGGCAATGACTTTATCGCAGTTGAACTAGTCAAGGGGTAAGTGTCCTTTTTATATTCTACCAGCTTATTTATAGATAAACTTACTTATAGATAAACTTAAAATGCTTGTATAAAGAGAAATTCATCTCATACTCAAGTTGCCTGTTTGCTGAGGTGTAAGACAAAGCACTTAAACATAAACACAAAGCTTAAGACTCCGGATTTATCACTGACTTCCTCCTGTGGCTGAGGCAAAAACACTTTTACAGTGTGCAGCATTAATATTTTAAGTTGTTTGGATGTAGCTAGACTAATGTTTTGTCCTGTTAACCTAGCAGCTTAGGACAGAGGAAGAAGAAATGTGCTGAGGGCTCTGTATCTTTCTTCTCTGCCCACTTCAAATTTTTTTTTTTTTTTTCCTGTAATACTCATTTTTCTGCCAACTTCACTGGAGGGGAAAAAAAAGGATATGGGCTGCTGAATCTGTATTTCTGCTGGTGATATTTGAGGAAAAGCAAACTCAGCTTGCTTTTGAGCTGGTATATTCTTTTCAAAAGACCAATAGCTTATTAAAAAAAATCCTTTGTTAGATGAACAAATTTTGATCTCTTACGATTTAGTCACGGTAGACATGTTTTCCACAAATACAGTTTACTAGTCCTGTTTATTTCAATTCAATCTGTTTCATTTTTAACTTTGCACATACTTCTTAAGTGGGACATTGAGTAATAGAAAATGCACCAGTCACGAGCTTCTGGTGCTCTGTTGAGAGTTGAGTTTTGTTGTCTTTTTTTTCACTTTCTGAATAGAATACTTCTGTTCTATCCTCAGGTGGATTTCTGTGTTTGAACTATATAAATAATTCAGGGTAACACTCCTGTGACTTCAGTCTTTGTTAGGGTCTTTATTTTTTGCCAAAAGCATTGCTAATTGTTTTCTAGCTGTTTGAATAAGCCTAATGTAAATTTCGCTAAAACATTTCAAGTGAGTTTCCTGATTAACTTCTTAAGAGAGTTATTCAAAACTCAGAATGAACCTGAGGAATATATGGCCCAAATAAGCATATCTAACATTGCTCCCCAGTACCTTTATCGATATTACAAGTTTAAAAAAATAATTATATTCTCAGACAGCATTTTTATGGATCTGCAAGAACTTTGTGGAAAACAAGGAATGCTTTATGGTTAGGATCTGATTACTTCAAATGTTATAATCTTGAAATATTAATCCTTACACTTTGGTGGAAAGGAAGCAACTCCATCTTTTCAAACAATGGCTAATATTTTGGCTTACTAGAGCTTTCCAAACCAGAGATACTTCCCTCCGTGACTTTTGTAAATGTTAGCTCTGGCTAAAATAAGAGTCAGTAGTGCTGGAATTGTTACACAATTTTAACTAGTTCTTGCTATGTTTACAGGTATATACACTATGTGTTTGACCTTGGAAATGGACCTAATGTTATCAAAGGCAACAGTGATCGTCCTCTTAATGACAACCAATGGCACAATGTCGTCATTACCAGAGATAACAGTAACACACACAGCCTAAAGGTGGACACTAAGGTGGTCACTCAGGTTATCAATGGTGCCAAAAATCTGGATCTTAAAGGTAAACTCTACAAGACTGACAGTTCCCCCCTTTATTCTTGCACTAATAAATGACAGAAAACTTACAATAACCATGCATTCTGGAACAGTAAATCTGGACTTTGCTAATTTTGTCTGTCAAATTCATTTTTCTCTTTCTTGTTTGGCAACTTCCTGTAGCAGAACAGTTTGTCATATTGTACTTTTTCAAAAATTAATTGTCATCTTACATTTTTTTCCTAATTAGGTAGCAATTACAGCTAGGATTTTTGGTGGGGTTTTGCAGGGCTTTTTTGATTGATTGATTGTTTTGGTTTTTTTGTTTGGTTGCTTTGTTTTGGGGTTTGGTTTGAGTTTTTTTTGTAGTAAAGAAGGCAGAAATGACTTCTTGCACAATGTCTCACTCTGCTTTAAACTTTTTTCTGAACATCTGTTCAGAATAAAACTTTGTTTTATTCACATTTGGTGACAAGGAAAGTCACTCTAAAAGGTGTGTAACTTACTCCTTCCTGTACGTTTATCCCTCTTTCCTCCAGGTGATCTCTACATTGCTGGCCTAGCTCAAGGCATGTATAGCAACCTCCCTAAGCTTGTGGCCTCACGTGATGGATTTCAGGGCTGTCTGGCATCTGTGGACTTGAATGGGCGTTTGCCTGATCTTATCAACGATGCTCTGCACCGCAGTGGGCAGATTGAGCGTGGATGTGAAGGTATAACTGATTTCAGAGAAGTTTCACTCACAAGCACTCAGTTGTTACTTCATTGCTGCCGTCTGTGCGTCTCTTCGACCTTACTATTCATTTCATTAAGTTGCTTTCATTGCAATATCCTTCATTACACTTATGTCTTCCAAATGCAGCTATTTGCTACAAGTTTTCTCAGGGTGGTTTATAAACATTACAGCACTCTTAAAATACTTTGGAAGATGTTCTGAGGATTCAATTCATTTTTGCTTCAGAGCACCCTTTTTTTGGGATTCACAGAAGTAAGTATTTCGTAGAATAAGCAGAGATAGGGGAAATGGAAGGTAGAAGGAGCTGAAGGACGAAGAATGGGCCAAAAGAGGAGTTTATTTTTGAGGAAGTGGACCTCCAGTGAAAGCACTGGGCCCATTGCCTCTTCTGCCTGAAAAACATTTCTGTATTTTCTTTTTTCCAGCCAGAATAGAACTAAATGTGATGAGTTACTTTTTGAAGCATGTAAATAGTAGTGATAATCCAAAGCCTCTTTAAGAATTTACTGTCTTTGCTAAGCTCCCATTAATTAAAAGACTGTTGACATCAGCATCACTGACTCAGTAAAATGCATATGGCTTCAATTCCCAAAGCACTTGGGATACTTAGCATCAAACCCCCCAAAATTTTTAAGTGACAATCACCATTGTGTCTGGTTCCACTCAATAGCAGTCTACTGTGTTGGCTACCAGTCACTCGAGTAAGATAATTTTTTCTGTAACATTGGTATGCACGTTTGCTAAGAAAAGATGTATGTCCTGAATTGATCCTTCCAAAATTTCATAAAGTTAAATTACTCCTTGGTTGTCTATCACCTACTCTGTCAAGATTACAGGTTATATCATGATGAAGCCATACCATTTGTCAAGACTGTCCCTTCTTAGGATTAAAAGTATCATCTTAGTGATATCTTTGAGTATTCATGAAACACCAAATTGGCAGTCTGATTAGATCTGTTCCCTTGCTTGTGTCTGTGCTCTGGTTGGCTGGGAGCTCTTGTGCCCCAGCCTTCCTGTGAGAATTTTGTGTCCTTTTACAGGAGATCACTTGATGTCAACTTGCACTTCTCAGCACTGGCACGTGCCACACAGCTGAAGGCTAGGGTTTTTTTCTATCTTTCCCTCTTTTTTTCTTAATAGTGTCTGTTAACCACATTGTTCCTTGTGGAAATGATCACATTGTAGCAGAACTTGTGTCTTTGTCCATTTGTGGCAGACCCAACTTGTCAAAAGAAGTGCACCTTTTCTGTATTAATTACAAGGAAAAAAATGCATTGTAGGTTTCTGAAAATGTCAATTCTATTTATCCTTGGTGTGCTGAAAGCACTTCTTTAATATTAGTGATTTCTTGATAATTCTTCTGTTTAAACTTTTCTTAATCCATTGGCTGTTCAGCTGTCATGTGATTTCTACTAACTCTCTGTCTTCAGAGGACCTCTCATTAAATTAACTTCTTGTTCTGTGTGTGGCTCAGGAGCAGAGCCATGATGCTTTACCAGAAGACTCTGCACCATTATTACAGCTATGGTGTTTCCTTCTCATGCACCCAGTGTAGTTATTTGATTTAGTGTCCTATTACTGAGGTGCATAGTGTCACTGCCACTCTCAAAATGCACAATGTGGCATATACTTTGTCTGTGTGCCAGTGTGGTACCAGCACAGCTGCTGCCTGAATATGGATGACATTGGTTCACTCTTAGAAATATCTGAAATGTGATTTCTCCTTCTCTTCTAAAGCCCTTCAAACAGGATTCAAGATTTGAAAGAGACCTAAAGAAATGGTTGGTAGGGTCAGTGACTGCCTTCGTTCTGCCTTTGGAAGAACTTGATCTTCCAAAGCAGTGCCCATGCTGTCTTCCCAAATAGTCCCTGCACAGTACCAAAGGAACTGCTGAAGAGGAATGTGTTCTTTTAGCCAACATGTTTAGGATTTGTAAAAAACCTTAGAATTTGGTCACCAGAAAGCTGTTTCATTTGTTGGGTGTTTTGTTTGGTTGGTTTTTTTAATCATAGCACCCCATAAGGCTTTGTCTCAGATCTTGGCAGCTGCCTGCTGGTGCCTATTCTTACAGTTGCCAGTGGAAGTCACACCAATCTCCCATTTCTCTAAGGAAAGAAAAACACAAAGCATGTTTAGTCCTTCTTTATATCTCCCTAGTTTACTTCCATCCCACGTGATCGTGGGTCCAATCTTAACAATGTTTTCAAGGGCTGAAGTCCCAAGCAGTCCTTGCTGCCTCATGATGTTTAAATATGTTTTTAATAAACAATTGCAGGCTTTTTGTGCAAATAGTTGTGCTGTGTGTTGATTTGCCAGACATATCCTTATTTCATCATGAGGGACAGTGGGATCACATCCACGATGAGAACATGCATGCTTTAGGAAATGTCATTTTGTCCCCACATAGGCATGTGGTGTGAGAGACATTTCTGCTAATGATTCTCTCGTTGCGGCTTTGCTTTCAGAAGCAGAGGAGATTGCAAGGTGGCAGCTGTTTTCTCAGAAACTGTCAGTTTGATCTCAGGACAGAATCATAGAATGTGTAGAGGAACGAAGCCTTGAGAATAGCGGAATGTGAGATGTAGGTCAGGAGACAGCACTGTATTCCTGAAACACACCGGCATCCTGCTCGTGTTTGTTATCTCTGTTCATGTATTTCAGTACCCTACTCCATACCACCAAATTCACAATTTTTAATAGGAAAATTATATTCCTTATTGTCTTGGTACTACTGCTACCTCATTTTATTCAGTCTGAGCAAGCCATTGAATTTCCTTGGCCATGTTGTTTGTCTCATGTACTTAAGCATAATTCAGCCTTGCTGTGCACCAAAGCACAAACCTATCATGTTATACAATTGTCTGCGTTCCAGTGATGGCAGTGCTTCTACTTGAGTGGGAAGCGCTTTCAGTAAATGATATTTATATTTCAATGATACATTTAGAGGAGAGCTTTTTCTTTGGGATCTGAAGAACCCCAAAGCATTCTTAGTCATATATATACGAGTCATTCTTGAAATGCAGACATTCCTGAACTGAAATTTGCTGGCATTTAATGGTGTACAGTAATGTTAAAAAAAAAAGCAGTTTAAGACCTAAGGCAAAAATTACTTTATCTCTGATGGCCTATTGGTTCTATTCTTATAATTTCTTTAAATTATTTATGGTGGGATTTGTTTAGGCTAGCACAACTATAACCTCTTTATCCTGTTTGTTAGGTGACATATCAGCTTCCTTTTGCATCATGGTTTGTTTTCATCACTCTTTTGCAACTGCAAAAAAACATTTCTGATTTTTGAGGAGCAACAGTCAGCTCTTCACAGATCTTGAAGGTCTGGTCAGATCTGTAGGTGGCAGCTTGTGTTTCCCTGGAATGTATTTTGCTGAGCCAGAAACCACTTTGCTTCCTGGTGTGTTCTGTTGCGCTACACACAACTGCAAGGACAACAAAATTTGGGGATAATGACATGATGCCGACATATTTGTTCATTTTTATAGAGTATCTTGAGCTCTTGCGCTAACTGCAGCCTTCATCACCATCTTTTATGTGACAAGAGGGCCCTTCACCCTACCACTACCCCAAAAAAGGGGTTGGCAAGAGGGCCTAAAAGAAAAGCTGCCAAAGGTAGGGAAGTGGTTGAGAGTTAAATGGCCCTTGTGTCAGTGTTGGATCAGAGTACTGAAAACTCTGAAGAGACAAAATCACTTCTCAGAAAGGACTTGAGTTGAGGACAGGGGGCTCTTCTAGCTTGCAAGCAAGTCTGCCACCTACTTTGGGCCTTGCTGTCCCCACCCATAAAATTCATCTGCATTTGTGCTGAAAGTATGAAATTCAACTATATCTTTTCAGACCACTTTGAAACAATGGGTGGAGGCTCCTAGAGATTAGCAAAGCATTAAAAACTGAGGAAGTCTTCTATCAGAACTTGGTTTTCTCCAGTCTTCATCTCAACAGCCAATGGAGGGTGGTTGGAAATTTTATACTCCTGAATTTGCATGATACAGGTTATTTCTATATTGGACATACACAGTTTGAGAGAAAAGATGCCTGCCTTATGGTGTGCATGCAAGAGTTGGTATATGGAAGAAGTTGTTCCAGGTGACATCCTTTCCCTCCTTGAAAGCAAATAATTTAAACTTCAGATAATCTCTTTACTGGACTTTTAAAATCAGTTCTTTTTTGCTGAACTCTTCATTTCTGGTCTTAGTACTAGATGAATGGATCAGTTTATTCCATCCACAAAAGTCTAGACTGAGTGACTCACTGCATTTTCCTCACTGGTCCTGAAAGAAGTTAAGCAGATGGCCAACCTTTTGTGGGATTTAAAGAGGATGCCCCCAATATTAATGAGTACTTCCTGCATTTCAGGTGTTTTTTCACCTCTTTATTAATTTGCCATATGTTCTCCCATGTTTTCCTTCCCTTTATTTGGACATCCTTATGTTGCTTACCATGGGCATTAGAGCTATCTGTAATGTAACTGCACATTCTAAATGTGTTCATTCCATCGTACCTCCAACCAAACAAACCTAACAGAAGTGCTTAGAAACAGTTTATTTCTTTTACAAGGTGTTTTTTTATGTGCGTTAGAGATGCTGCTTCTTCCTCACCTGTTCCACTGATAACAGCTTCTCACAAAGGAGAGTGATTATTATTAAACAGGCTGACACAGTTCCAGATGTTTTGGGACTTTTTTTGTCCTAATTTAATCTTCTTTCCAGATCCTGCAGTAAAATCATAATCTTTTGCAACTTTCCATGAACTAGTATAGTTAACCTTTGGAATTCACTGTTGCATGAAAAGCATGAATGACACATACAGGCTGGATAATCAGAAACACATTTTGCATACTAAGCAGTATGTGGAAAACAGAAAATCTAATCTCATGCTTAAAATCTCACAGCAGGATAATGTCAGAAAGGATTTCACCCTTCATCTGCTTAGTGTAGAAACTTCAAATCTGGTCATACTCCACT